GAGCAAGGGCCTAGCGTGTTCAAAAAATCAAGAACAAGGGCCTAGCCTTCGTGAAATAGCAAGAACAAGGGCCTAGCGTGTGCAAAATAAAAAGAACAAGGGTCTAGCATGTGCAAAATCAAAAAAAACAAGGGCCTAGCGTGTGCAAAATAAAAAAAAACAAGGGCATTGCGTGTGCAAAATAAAAAGAACAAGGGCATAGCGTATGCAAAATAAAAAGAACAAGGGCCTAGCGTGTACAAAATTGCAAGAACAAGGGCCTAGCATGTGCAAGATTGCAAGAACAAGGGCCTAGCGAGTGCAAAATAGCAAGAGCAAATGCCTAGCGTGTGCAAAAAATAAAGAACGAAGGTCTAGCATGTGCAAAATGTAAAGAAGAAGGGCCTGGCGAGTGCAAAATAAAAAGAACAAGGGCATAGCGTGTGCAAAACAAAAAGAACAAGGGCATAGCGTGTGCAAAATAAAAAGAACAAGGGCCTAGCATATGCAAAATAAAAGAACAAGGGCCTAGCATGTGCAAATTTGCAAGAACAAGGGCCTAGCGTGTGCAAAATTGCAAGAACAAGGGCCTAGCGAGTGCAAAATAGCAAGAGCAAAGGCCTAGCATGTGCAAAAATTCAAGAACAAAGGTCTAGCTTGTGCAAAATGTAAAGAACAAGGGCCTAGCGTGTGCAAAATAAAAAGAACAAGGGCATAGCGTGTGCAAAATAAAAGGAACAAGGGCATAGCGTGTGCAAAATAAAAAGAACAAGGGCCTAGCGTGTGCAAACTAAAAAGAACAAGGGCCTAGCATGTGCAAAACTGCAAGAACAAGGGCCTAGCGTGTGCAAAATAAAAAGAACAAGGGCCTAGCGAGTGCAAAATAGCAAGAGCAAGGGCCTAGCGTGTGCAAAAAATCAAGAACAAGGGCCTAGCTTTCGCGAAATAGCAACAACAAGGGCCTAGCGTTTGCAAAATAGCAAGAACAAGGGCCTAATGTGTGCAAAATTGCAAGAACAAGGGCCTAGCGTGTGCAAAATTGCAAAAACAAGGGCCTAGCGTGTGCAAAATAAAAAGAACAAGGGTCTAGCATGTGCAAAATTGCAAGAACAAGGGCCTAGCGTGTGCAAAATAAAAAGAACAAGGGCATAGCGTGTGCAAAATAGCAAGAACAAGGGCCTAGCGTGTGCAAATAAAAAGAACAAGGGCCTAGCGTGTGCAAAATAAAAAGAACAAGGGCCTAGCGTGTGCAAAATTGCAAGAACAAGGGCCTAGCGTTTGCAAAATTGCAAGAACAAGGGCCTAGCAAGTGCAAAATAGCAAGAGCAAGGGCCTAGCGTGTGCAAAAAATCAAGAACAAGGGCCTAGCGTTCATGAAATAGCAAGAAAAAGGGCCTAGCGTGTGCAAAATAAAAAGAACAAGGGTCTAGCATGTGTAAAATAAAAAAAACAAGGGCCTAGCCTGTACAAAATTGCAAGAACAAGGGCCTAGCGTGTGCAAAATTGCAAGAACAAGGGCCTAGCGAGTGCAAAATAGCAAGAGCAAAGGCCTAGCGTGTGCAAAAAATCAAGAACGAAGGTCTAGCATGTGCAAAATGTAAAGAACAAGGGCCTAGCGTGTATAAAAGGGCATAGCGAGTGCAAAATAAAAAGAACAAGGGCATAGCGTGTGCAAAATAAAAAGAACAAGGGCCTAGGGTGTGCAAAATAAAAAGAAAAAGGGCATGGCGTGTGCAAAATAAAAGGAACAAGGGCCTAGCGTGTGCAAAATAAAAAGAACAAGGGCCTAACGTGTGCAAAATTGCAAGAACAAGGTCCCTGTTCTTGTGCAAAAAAAAAAAAAAACAAGGGCCTAACGTGTGCAAAAAAAAAAGAACAAGGGCATAGCGTGTGCAAAACAAAAAGAACAAGGGCATAGCGTGTGCAAAATAAAAAGAACAAGGGCCTAGCGTGTGCAAAATAAAAAGAACAAGGGCCTAGCGTGTAAAAAATTGCAAGAACAAGGGCCTAGCGTGTGCAAAATTGCAAGAACAAGGGCCTAGCGAGTGCAAAATAGCAAGAGCAAAGGCCTAACGTGTGCAAAAAATTAAGAACGAAGGTCTAGCATGTGCAAAATGTAAAGAACAAGGGCCTAGCGTGTGCAAAATAAAAAGAACAAGGGCATAGCGTGTGCAAAATAAAAAGAACAAGGGCATAGCGTGTGCAAAATAAAAAGAACAAGGGCCTAGCGTGTGCAAAATAAAAAGAACAAGGGCATAGCGTGTGCAAAATAAAAAGAACAAGAGCCTAGCGTGTGCAAAATTGCAAGAACAAGGGCCTAGCATGTGAAAATTTGCAAGAACAAGAGCCTAGTGTGTGCAAAATTGCAAGAACAAGGGCCTAGCGAGTGCAAAATAGCAAGAGCAAAGGCCTAGCGTGTGCAAAAAATCAAGAACGAAGGTCTAGCATGTGCAAAATGTAAAGAACAAGGGCCTAGCGTGTGCAAAATAAAAAGAACAAGGGCATAGCGTGTGCAAAATAAAAGGAACAAGGGCATAGAGTGTGCAAAATAAAAAGAACAAGGGCCTAGCGTGTGCAAAATCAAAAGAACAAGGGCCTAGCGTGTGCAAAACAAAAAGAACAAGGGCCTAGCGTGTGCAAAATTGCAAGAACAAGGGCCTAGCGAGTGCAAAATAGCAAGAGCAAGGGCCTAGCGTGTGCAAAAAATCAAGAACAAGGGCCTAGCGTTCGTGAAATAGCAAGAACAAGGGCCTAGCGTGTGCAAAAAAAAAAATAACAAGGGCCTAGCATGTGCAAAATAAAAAAAACAAGGGCCTAGCGTGTGCAAAATAAAAAAAAACAAGGGCATAGCGTGTGCAAAATAAAAAGAACAAGGGCATAGCGTATGCAAAATAAAAAAAACAAGGGCCTAGCGTGTGCAAAATAAAAAGAACAAGGGCATAGCGTGTGCAAAATAAAAAGAACAAGAGCCTAGCGTGTGCAAAATTGCAAGAACAAGGGCCTAGCATGTGCAAATTTGCAAGAACAAGAGCCTAGTGTGTGCAAAATTGCAAGAACAAGGGCCTAGCGAGTGCAAAATAGCAAGAGCAAAGGCCTAGCGTGTGCAAAAAATCAAGAACGAAGGTCTAGCATGTGCAAAATGTAAAGAACAAGGGCCAAGCGTGTGCAAAATAAAAAGAACAAGGGCATAGCGTTTGCAAAATAGCAAGAACAAGAGCCTAGCATGTGCAAATAAAAAGAACAAGGGCCTAGCGTGTGCAAGATAAAAAGAACAAGGGCCTAGCGTGTGCAAAATTGCAAGAACAAGGGCCTAGCGTGTGCAAAATAAAAAGAACAAGGGCCTAGCGTGTGCAAAATAAAAAGAACAAGGGCCTAGCGTGTGCAAAATTGCAAGAACAAGGGCCTAGCGTGTGCAAAATTGCAAGAACAAGGGCCTAGCGAGTGCAAAATAGCAACAGCAAGGGCCTAGCGTGTGCAAAAAATCAAGAACAAGGGCCTAGCGTTCGTGAAATAGCAAGAACAAGGGCCTAGCGTGTGCAAAATAAAAAGAACAAGGGCCTAGCATGTGCAAAATAAAAAAAACAAGGGCCTAGCGTGTGCAAAATAAAAAAAATCAAGGGCATAGCGTGTGCAAAATAAAAAGAACAAGGGCATAGCGTATGCAAAATAAAAAGAACAAGGGCCTAGCGTGTGCAAAATAAAAAGAACAAGGGCATAGCGTGTGCAAAATAAAAAGAACAAGAGCCTAGCGTGTGCAAAATTGCAAGAACAAGGGCCTAGCATGTGCAAATTTGCAAGAACAAGAGCCTAGTGTGTGCAAAATTGCAAGAACAAGGGCCTAGCGAGTGCAAAATAGCAAGAGCAAAGGCCTAGCGTGTGCAAAAAATCAAGAACGAAGGTCTAGCATGTGCAAAATGTAAAGAACAAGGGCCAAGCGTGTGCAAAATAAAAAGAACAAGGGCATAGCGTTTGCAAAATAGCAAGAACAAGAGCCTAGCATGTGCAAATAAAAAGAACAAGGGCCCAGCGTGTGCAAGATAAAAAGAACAAGGGCCTAGCGTGTGCAAAATTGCAAGAACAAGGGCCTAGCGTGTGCAAAATAAAAAGAACAAGGGCCTAGCGTGTGCAAAATAAAAAGAACAAGGGCCTAGCGTGAGCAAAATTGCAAGAACAAGGGCCTAGCGTTCGTGAAATAGCAAGAACAAGGGCCTAGCGTGTGCAAAATAAAAAGAACAAGGGCCTAGCATGTGCAAAATAAAAAAAACAAGGGCCTAGCGTGTGCAAAATAAAAAAAAACAAGGGCATAGCGTGTGCAAAATAAAAAGAACAAGGGCATAGCGTATGCAAAATAAAAAGAACAAGGGCCTAGCGTGTGCAAAATAAAAAGAACAAGGGCATAGCGTGTGCAAAATAAAAAGAACAAGGGCATAGCGTGTGCAAAATAAAAAGAACAAGGGCCTAGCGTGTGCAAAATCAAAAGAACAAGGGCATAGCGTGTGCAAAATAAAAAGAACAAGAGCCTAGCGTGTGCAAAATTGCAAGAACAAGGGCCTAGCATGTGCAAATTTGCAAGAACAAGAGCCTAGTGTGTGCAAAATTGCAAGAACAAGGGCCTAGAGAGTGCAAAATAGCAAGAGCAAAGGCCTAACGTGTGCAAAAAATCAAGAACGAAGGTCTTGCATGTGCAAAATGTAAAGAACAAGGGCCTAGCATGTGCAAAATAAAAAGAACAAGGGCATAGCGTGTGCAAAATAAAAGGAACAAGGGCATAGAGTGTGCAAAATAAAAAGAACAAGGGCCTAGCGTGTGCAAAATCAAAAGAATTAGGGCCTAGCATGTGCAAAACTGCAAGAACAAGGGCCTAGCGTGTGCAAAATAAAAAGAACAAGGGCCTAGCGAGTGCAAAATAGCAAGAGCAAGGGCCTAGCATGTGCAAAAAATCAAGAACAAGAGCCTAGCTTTCGCAAAAAAGCAAGAACAAGGGCCTAGCGTTTGTAGAATAGCAAGAACAAGAGCCTAGCATGTGCAAAATTGCAAGAACAAGGGTATAGCGTGTGCAAAATTGCAAGAACAAGGGCCTAGCGTGTGCAAAAAAAAAAAGAACAAGGGCCTAGCGTGTGCAAAATAAAAAGAACAAGGGCCTAGCGTTTGCAAAATAGCAAGAACAAGGGCCTAGCATGTGCAAAATTGCAAGAACAAGGGTCTAGCGTGTGCAAAATAGCAAGAGCAAGGGCCTAGCGTGTGCAAAAAATCAAGAACAAGGGCCTAGCCTTCGTGAAATAGCAAGAACAAGGGCCTAGCGTGTGCAAAATAAAAAGAACAAGGGTCTAGCATGTGCAAAATAAAAAAAACAAGGGCCTAGCGTGTGCAAAATAAAAAAAAACAAGGGCATAGCGTGTGCAAAATAAAAAGAACAAGGGCATAGCGTATGCAAAATAAAAAGAACAAGGGCCTAGCGTGTGCAAAATAAAAAGAACAAGGGCCTAGCGTGTACAAAATTGCAAGAACAAGGGCCTAGCATGTGCAAGATTGCAAGAACAAGGGCCTAGCTGTCAGAACATATAGCTTAGGGGGAGGTGGCGGTGGAGACGGGGGTGGCGGTGGAGGCGGGGGTGGCGGTGGAGGCGGGGGTCGGAGTGGCTCGTCCCAGAGGAGCAGCTCTGGGGGTGGTCAGCGCCAGCAGCAGCAGCAGCAGCAGCCGCAGCAGCAGCCACAGCAGCAGCAGCGCTCTCGCACCGTCCCGGGCCCTCAGCAGCTCCGTGAGTGGTACTTGCAGCGTCAGCGTGGTGGTGCGCTTGGTCCCTGCCCCTACGTTCTTCGCACCGGTGACCGTGCAGGGGAGAGGTGTGGAGGCGCCCACACAGCCCGCCGCTGCTTTGGCCGCCTGACCAACGCCTGGCGTCAGCAGTTTCCGGAGGCCGCTGAGATCCCCCGCTGGGGAGAGCTGTCTAGGGCTGGTGTAGCTATTTATGATCTTGATTTTGATGCTATTCTCTCTGCTATGTATGCTGTGACTGGTAGTGATGAGGATGACTTTTACCGGTGTTTCCCGCCCGACCCGGGCATTGGTACTGCCGCGTCAGGTACTAGTGAGGCTGCTGCTCTAGGTGCCAGTGCGTCTGTGCTCTCAGGTGCTGGTGAGTCTGCCCTCTCAGGTACTGTGTCGGCTTCGGCCTCTCACACCTTCACCCTTGACTGTGGAGCGTCTCGCTCCTTCTTTAGGGACCGCACCACTCTCACGCCGCTGAGTCGGCCGGTTGCGGGGTCCCTGGCTGACCCCTCTGGGGGGCCTGTCCTGTCTCGCTTCTCCACTGTCCTCCCGTGTCCGGCGGCCCCCTCTGGCACCCTGACTGGTCTCTACCTCCCCTCGTTCTCGACGAACTTGGTGAGTGGTGCTGACCTCCAGGATGCGGGTGTCCACCAGTTCACCCCTGCTCGTCAGCGGGTGACCCACTGCACGGAGGCGGATACAGGTCGCCACCTGGCTACGTTTACACGTCGGCCAGGGTCGAGCCTGTACACACTGACCACTGCTTCTCCTCCAGGTGCTACGTCTGGTAGGGTCCCTTCGTGTGGTCAAGTGTTTGCTGCAGCGTCCAGGTCTGGTCCTGAGTCTGCCCCCTGCTCGTGTCGTCGTCTGTCTCACGAGACCCTCCTCTGGCACCACCGCCTTGGCCACCCCTCTCTGCTTCGGCTCAGAGGCATGGCCTCGCGAGTCCTTGTGTCTGGTCTTCCCCGGTCTCTCCCTCCCCTTCCTCCGGGCCCTGGCCCTACCTGTGTCCCCTGTGTCGAGGGGCGCCAGCGTGCTGCCCCTCACTCCTCCCAGTTTCCTCTGACAGAGGCCCCGTTGCAGACGCTTCACATGGACGTGTGGGGCCCAGCCCGCGTCCGTGGACAGGGTCAGGAGCGCTACTTCCTGCTGGTGGTTGACGAGTACTCGCGTTACACCACAGTCTTCCCCTTGCGCAGCAAGGGTGAGGTCACTGCGGTGTTGATCGACTGGATCCGCGCAGCTCGTCTCCAGCTTCGGAGGAGCTTTGGCTCTGACTTCCCTGTTTTGCGTCTGCACTCGGACAGAGGCGGAGAGTTCTCCTCTGGCCTCCTGAGTGCCTACTGTCGTGTGCGAGGCATCCGTCAGACCTTCACGCTTCCGGACTCCCCACAGCAGAATGGGATTGCTGAGCGCCGCATTGGCATGGTCATGGACGTCGCTCGTACGTCCATGATGCATGCGGCTGCTCCCCATTTTCTGTGGCCGTTTGCGGTCAGGTACGCTGCGCACCAGATCAACCTCCACCCCAGGGTCTCTCGACCGGAGACCTCCCCAGCCCTGCTGTGGACGGGGAAGGTTGGCGATGCGTCGGCGTTCCGGGTCTGGGGATCTCGGGCGTTTGTTCGCGACCTGTCTGCGGACAAGCTGTCCCCTCGTGCTTCTCCCTGCGTCTTCCTGGGGTTCCCCCCCGACGCCCCTGGGTGGCAGTTTTACCACCCCACCTCTCGACGTGTTCTGTCCTCCCAGGACGTCACGTTCGACGAGTCGGTACCCTACTACCGCCTCTTCCCCTACCGCACTCCGTCCCTCCCCCCACCCCCGCTCTTCTTGGTACCAGGTCCCCCCCCGGTAGTCCCCCTCCCCCCCTCAGGGTCCTGCCCCTTCAGGTGTGTCCCAGGTAGACGCGGTCGAGCCTGTCGAGGTCACTGGTGACTCTGGTGCTGCTGCGGGAGCTGAGCCTGGGGGTGCGGAGTCTGGGGGTGCTGAGCCTGGGGGTGCTGTGCCTGGGGGTGCTGAGCCTGGAGGTGCCGAGCCTGGGGGTGCTGTGCCTGGGGGTGCTGAGCCTGGGGGTGCTGAGCCTGGGGGTGCTGTGCCTGGGGGTGCTGAGCCTGGAGGTGCCGAGCCTGGGGGTACTGAGCCTGGGGGTACTGAGCCTGGGGGTGCTGTGCCTGGGGGTGCTTCGTCTCGCCGGGAGCCACTCTCCCCACAGGAGCTGCGTGAGTGGTTTGCCAGGCGCTGGAGGCGTGCTGCTGGTGCTGGTGGTTCTTCGGCTGCAGAGGGTACTGCTGCCGCGCGTCCCGCCGGTGCTTGTACTGTGGGTGCTGGAGCTGCTGAGTCTGAGAGTTCTCCTGGAGCTGGTACTACTGAGGGTGTTGGCGCTGAGCCTGCCGTTGGCGGTCCGACTGACAGTGCTCCTGGTGCTGCTGCTGGAGGTTCTGGAGCTTCTAGTGGTGCTGCTGGAGGTGCTGCTGGAGTGGGTGCTCCTGCCGGGGCTGCTGGTGCTGTTCCTGCTGTTTCTAGCGTCGCCGCGCGGCCCCGACCGTACTTCGTTCCGCTCCTGCAGCAGGTTCTTGGTCTTACACCTCCTCCTCCTCCCTTAGAGGGTCCGCAGCCTGTCGTGTCACAGCCACAGCTACAGCCTGCCTCCCCTTTGCCTGCTCCTTCTCCCTACGCTGGTCCGACTGGAGGTCTTACTGAGCGTCGTGAGCCTGCGTCTCGTCCTGTGTCGCCTGTTCGTACTGAGCGCACTAGTTGTCGCGGGTCGCGTCAGCGTCCTCCTCCTGTCCCTGGCACGCACCGGATGTCACTGCGTCCGTCCACTGCTCCTCTGCGTGCCCCTTTGCCTTCTCCTCCTGCTTCCTCTCTTCCTGCTCTTGCCGACCCGGAGTCGGACTCTCTTCGTGCTGCCAGTCCTACTGTCACGCGTCTACTTGCTACTGCTGTCACTGACCCTTCCTTCGAGTCGTCTGCTGCGTCTGCCCTTGTCACTGAGCTTGTCGACTTTGCTGCGCGCTGTCGTCTAGACTACGCTGCTAGTCTTGTCACTGAGTCTGAGTCCGCCTGTCCTCCGTCCGTCGGGGGTGAGTGTGCCCTTGGCACGGACGTCCTTGAGGACAGGCAGGAGGAGTTCCAGTGTCTGGCCGCCGCTTCACCTCGTCTCGCGTCTGTACTGCTAGCCCCTGAGGGAGACCCGGATGCACCAGACATCCCGACTCCGCGCTCTTACGCGGAGGCGATAGAGGGTCCCTACTCCTCTCAGTGGCAGGCAGCTATGGATGCAGAGATGGCTTCCTGGAAGTCCACAGGCACCTACGTTGACGCTGTTCCCCCTCCTGGGGCGAACATCGTCAGTGGCATGTGGATTTTCAGGGTGAAGCGGCCGCCGGGTTCTCCGCCTGTCTTCAAGGCGCGTTACGTGGCTCGTGGCTTCAGTCAGCGGCAGGGGGTTGACTACTTTCAGACCTTCTCCCCCACCCTGAAGATGACCACTCTTCGGGTTCTGCTGCACGTTGCTGCTCACCGTGACTACGAGCTGCACTCTCTCGACTTCAGCACAGCTTTCTTGCAGGGCAGCCTGCACGAGGAGATCTGGCTGCGTCGCCCACCTGGCTTCACTGGGTCTTTCCCTCCTGGTACCCAGTGGAGTCTCCGGCGTCCAGTCTACGGTCTCCGCCAGGCGCCACGTGAGTGGCACGACACACTGAGGACTACGCTCGCGGCACTTGGGTTTGCTCCTTCTACTGCCGACCCGTCGCTGTTTCTGCGCACCGACACCTCTCTGCCGCCGTTCTACATCCTCGTGTACGTCGACGACTTGGTCTTTGCCACAGCTGATACTGCTGGACTCGCCTACGTGAAGTCCGAGCTGCAGAAGAGACACACGTGCACTGACCTGGGTGAACTGCGCAGCTACCTTGGCTTGCAGATCACCCGGGACAGAGCACGCCGCACCATTACCCTGACTCAGTCACACATGGTGCAGCAGGTCCTTCAGCGCTTCGGCTTCACGTACTCCTCGCCTCAGGCCACTCCTCTGCCTACTCGCCACTCGCTCTCAGCTCTGCCTTCGGATGAGTCCGTAGAGTCGAGTGGCCCGTTTGCAGAGCTTGTTGGCTGCCTCATGTACCTGATGACCTGCACACGACCTGACCTCGCATACCCTCTTAGCATTCTCGCACGCTATGTTGCTCCTGGGAGACACCGACCAGAGCACATGGCTGCAGCGAAGAGGGTGTTGCGCTACTTGTGCAGTACGTCGGGCATGGGGCTAGTGCTTGGAGGGCGCAGTCCAGTGGTCCTCACTGGGCACGCAGACGCTTCTTGGGCTGACGACCAGGCTACGCAGCGGTCGTCACAGGGTTACACCTTCAGCCTTGGTTCCGGCTCTGTCTCGTGGCGGGCTACCCGCTCGTCTTCTGTTCTCGGCTCCAGTTGTGAGGCTGAGATCTACGCTGGGGCTATGGCTGCACAGGAGTTACGCTGGCTCACCTACCTGCTGACCGACCTTGGAGAGCAGCCTAGTTCTCCTCCAGTCCTGTACGTAGACAACAAGGCCATGCTGGCCTTGTGTCGAGAGCAGCGACTGGAGCACAGAACGAAGCACATTGCTCTCCGCTACTTTCTTGCTCGTGAGCTACAGCAGCGTGGACAGTTGCGACTTGCGTACGTGGCCTCTGAGGCCAACACTGCTGATGTCTTCACCAAGGCACTTGCGCCTTGTGATCATCAGCGTTGTTGCACGCAGTTAGGTCTTGTGCCTGTCTCGCCTCACTTGCTCTCCTCTTGACCTTGTTTGTACCTTCGCCTATATATACTCTTGCTCTTGCTTGCTTGACTCTTGTATATCTCTATATATGATCTTGCATGTGAACTGGCCTTCTGGCCTTTGAACTTGTGCTCGGAATGCGTGGTGACTTTGTGATCCACCCTGAGCTTTGCTTTGCTTTGCTTGACTGGTCTTGTGACCCCTTGTTCTCCCCCACTTTGCCTATGGGGGTGTGTCAGAACATATAGCTTACTTGTTTCTGTAGGCTATAGTGGGGTATCCCATAGGGGGTACAACCCAATTAGGGTTTCATATTTGTACTCACTTCATTTCATAGTCATTCATTCTCGTTCACATTTTCTCACTAGCGAGTGCAAAATAGCAAGAGCAAATGCCTAGCGTGTGCAAAAAATAAAGAACGAAGGTCTAGCATGTGCAAAATGTAAAGAACAAGGGCCTGGCGTGTGCAAAATAAAAAGAACAAGG